TTTTAGTAAATAAATATTCTCTACACTTGTCTCTTATTGAAATGTTATCGTACACTTTGAAGTCCATATGCAACTTTTTTCCTTTTTCTTCTTAAAAAATTCGGTATGCTATAAAGTGTAACGCCTACATATTACGGAAAAGTTCCTCTATTCGGTATTGTGAACAGCTTGCTTTCAATTTTGCTCCTCCAATAATAATAATAAAAAAATAGCACAAAAATGAATAAAAATTTATTTTTTCATCAAAGGAAGAAAATCTACGACAAGTTACATAAAAAAATTAAGAAAAATCTGTTCTAAAAGGCTATTTTTTGCCACTTTGCGGCTAGAAAAGTATCAGGGAGCACTGTAGTATCTTAAAAGTTCCAGCAAGTAAACAGAATTTTCAGTGAGCTCGAAAAAACGTTTGTGCTCGACAAATTATCCGACTTTTGCTTCAGCTACGCTGTCTAGGGAGAGATTAATCTTATTTCTTCGTACCATCATTTTCTGCTCGAGCTGAATGAAAGAGACACGAGTCTCGCATTACACTGAGGAGATGTTAGTGTACTTGCTTCGGCAGTACATATACTAAAATTGGAACGATACAGAGAAGATTAGCATGGCCCCTGCGCAAGGATGACACGCAAAATCGTAAAGCGTTCCACATTTTTTGTCTTAATTCGTCGTTTAAAGAGAAACTCAAACTTTTACTCTATGCTGGAAGCGTTTGACATCGGAAAACTCAGAGGTATGCTAGAAAGGGAAACGCCTACTTATTACTGAAAAGATTTATTCGGTATTGTCAACAGCTTGCTTTCAAATTTTCCTCCTCCAATAAATATAAAATTTAAAAAAAAAGAGCAAACAAAATGAATAAGAATTTAATTTTCCTTCAAAGGAACAAAATCTACGATGTGGTACATAAAAAAAAAAAATTTTTTTTTAAAGTATCGGATATAAAAGTCTATTTTTTACTACTTTGTTTGGGGAAAGAAAAGTATCCGGGAACATTGCAGTCTCTTAAAAGTTCCAGCAAATATACGGAATTTGCAATGTGCTCGACAAATGCAACTGAGATAAATTGCCCGTTTTGTTGGCTATCTCAAATCCTCAAATCCTCATTACCTCAGTCATCATCCGACACCACATTATTACTAGTACTTATAGCTTTTACTTTTTAGATATCTACCACTGAAATTATGTGAGAAATGTTTGCATTATTTTGAAGGGTCCTCCCCGTCCATGGCATAGCTGTGCTATGTTGGTTCCGTGGTAATGCTTCCAACTGCCGAGCAGTGGGTTTGAGGCCCGAGGATAACATTATCATACGACAAATAATTACATAAAAAAAACAGAACAGACACGCGAATGACAATATTATTTCTCTCTCATTCAGCTTACTCTTTACGCCCACTTCAAACAAGTTTGCGTTGTTCAGGTAAGCTCGAATGAAGCGAATCTCAAGTAACGTATAGCTTTTTGCTCCATAAACTTATTTTTATAAGACGCGCAATTTAAAGGGAGGACCGTGACGACAAGAGTTACTATCTCTTTCATTTTTTCTTCCGAAATAGCTAATGAGAATAAATCCACATAGCGATACCGAGGGACATTGCACGTTAATTAGATAGTGTGTACAATTTCGAAAAAGCGAAGGTACCACTTTTTGTTCTTTTTAAAATCTTACATGTAAAAACTGAAATATGGCATTTACATACTAAGATCATCGACAAATTTCATAACAACAAAGCCCCAGGGGCGGACAAAATCAATAATGTAATGATTAAATTCCTCCCCCCAAATATTGTTGAACTACTAAAAAATATACTGAACGCTTGCCTAGACATCTGCTACTTCCCTTAACAGTGGAAACATGCTCAGATTGTCCTCATCATTTATACCTGGATTTTTTCATAAGGGGAATAAAAGGAGTTTTCGGATTATCCGTGTTTTTTGATTGTCCGTGCGACCTGTCCCGGTGATTAAACCCGGATAATCGGGAGTGCACTGTAAAATAAAAAAAGAGCAAGCGAAATGAATAAAAATTTAATTTTCCTTCAAAGGAACAAAATCTACGATGCGGTACACAAAAAAAAATTTAAAAGTATCGGTTATAAAAGTCTATTTTTTACTACTTTGTTTGGGGAAAGAAAAGTATCAGGGAACATTGCAGTCTCTTAAAAGTTCCAGCAAATATACGGAATTTGCAGTGTGCTCGACAAATGCAACTGAGATAAATTGCCCGTGTTGTTGGCTATCTCAAATAACTCAGTCACCATCCGACACCACATTATTATTAGTACTTATAGCTTTTACTTTTTAGATAACTACCACTGAAATTATGTGAGAAATGTTTGCATTATTTTGAAGGATCCTCCCCGTCCATAGCATAGCTGTGCTATGTTGGTTCCGTGGTTCCATGTTGGTTCCAACTGCCGAGCAGTGGGTTTGAAGCCCGAGGATAGCATTATCATGCGACAAATAATTACATAAAAAAGCAGACACGCAAATGACAATATTATTTCTCTCTCATTCAGCTTACTCTTTACGCCCACTTCAACAAGTTTGCGTTGTTCAGGTAAGCTCGAATGAAGCGAATCTCAAGTAACGTATAGCTTTTTGCTCCATAACCTTATTTTTATAAGTGGCGCAATTTAAAGGGAGGACCGTGACGACAAGAGTTACTATCTCTTTCATTTTTTCTTCCGAAATAGCTAATGAGAATAAATCCACATAGCGATACCGAGGGGCATTGCACGTTAATTAGATAGTGTGTACAATTTCGAAAAAGCGAAGGTACCACTTTTTGTTCTTTTTAATATCTTACATGTAAAAACTGAAATATGGCATTCACATTAGAGATGGGCAAAACTGCTACTTTTTTAATCTTTCGCCTTTTACTAAAGATTACCGTGGAGAGGAACAATTTAATGAGCTTGACTCAATTTTTGGAACCCCATCCAACGGTGGGGTTATAAAACTAAGAAAAGAATTCGGGAAGATGGTGGGCGGAACTTTTCTATCCGGCTCTTGCCGCAGCTACGCTGTCGAAGGAGAGATAGATCTTATTTCTTCGTACCATCATTTTCTGCTCGAGCTGAATGAAAGAGACACGAGTCTCGCGCGATACTGAGGAGATGTTTTTCTCAAAGTCCACGCGCATGCGCCGCTCTCCTGTCTAGGGCTTCGCCGAAGAAAGAAACCCAATAAATAATTCAAAAACGGCTACCACTCTAATATATTTCTACTTCAAGCATAGTATATAAGAAAACTCTAACCAGTCCTCTAGTGTACTTGCTTCGGCAGTACATATACTAAAATTGGAACGATACAGAGAAGATTAGCATGGCCCCTGCGCAAGGATGACACGCAAAATCGTGAAGCGTTCCACATTTTTTGTCTTATTTCGTCGTTTAAAGAGAAACTTTTACTCTATGCTGGAAGCTTTTGACATCAGAAAACTCAGAGGTATGCTAGAAAGGGAAACGCCTACTTATTACTGAAAAGCTTTATTCGGTATTGTGAACAGCTTGCTTTCAATTTTTCCTCCTCTAATAAAGAAAGAGCAAGCAAAATGAATATAAATTTAGTTTTCCTTCAACGGAACAAAATCTATGATGCGGTACATAAAAAAAAAAAAATTAATAAATAAAAGTATCGGTTATAAAAGTCTATTTTTTACTACTTTGTTTGGGGAAAGAAAAGTATCAGGGAACATTGTAGTCTCTTAAAAGTTCCAGCAAATATACAGAATTTGGCAAAAAAAATTATCTATTGTTTGTTACATTTGGCAAGAAAAATATCTACTATTAGTTATTTCATCAGACATTGGAGAAAGAAAATAGCTTTGAGAATGAATCATTGAATTAATATATGAGTTGCGAGATTACAATGAAACCTCTTTTAAGTATTCCGAATTCCAGGGGTGATTGTGAGCCCTACTCATAAATCCTGAAAATTTCTTAAGAAAAATCATTAATGACGCATTTCAAAAAAATTTTATGTCTTTATAAATTTAAGGCATCAAATCAAAACATGAAATTCTAAATAAATTATATGTAGCATAATTTAAATCAATAATTATGTATAAGTTTACTTTTATCTTTAATCACGTTTATTATTCTTCCACAAAAAATATTTGCAAATGAAAAATATATCAAGTATAAATTCTAATTCTAATAATTCTAAATAAACGTACAAGAATTTTTAAACATAAATGTAATCGATTTCTTGAAACTCCTGGACCTTGGATTTCCAGAAACCTCCAAATAGCGATTAGCAAAAAATCCGGACTTTTTCGGAGCACAATCAGCTCTGGAATTCAGGACATTCATTGCTACTAATCTAACACTGTTATGAAATACAGCTGTTTGTGAATAGTTTTTGTAGCTTTAAAAAAAATATCTAAAGAAAACAAGCTTTTTTTTGTTTTTAATTTTGAGCAGTTAACTCTTTCTTTATTTTTGTAAAGGTCTGCCTTTTTCCTCAGCAATGCTTGTGTTAGTTCGTATACAATGCATAGTGTAAACAAAAACATTAAGGCAATGAGGAAAAAAAATCTATATATTTTATTAATAATATCTTTTTAGAAACCTTAGTCTAATTAAAGCATAAAAATGTCTGAAAAAACTGTAAATAATGTGTGAAGTAATTTTCTTGACTTAATACTGAAGCAGTAATTCAAGAATCTTTAATCAGTTACCCGTTAGTTATTATATAATCAATCTCTGTTAGAAAATAAGAGTAATTTTCAATTGCAATTTCCTTCATGAAATTCACTCATCTATTTCAAATTTTACTCCCTTTAAATTAACCTGTGGATCTTTCTCCAATAAATGTATTAATTTTATATTAATTTTTACATATTTTTAAAGTTTTTGAACTATAAACCAACATGTATTGCTGATTAACACATAAGGGTTTGCGCCCACACGGGAATTTTTGTAACTGAGCTACAAGATACTTAGTAGATACCAGCAATTAGTACTATTGCTTGCACTAAGTGAAATGTTGTTAAATAAAAACAATATAATTTATTTAAAACTTTAAGTTTTAACAAAAGGAGGTACAGTGAGTCCAAATGATTTCGCAACAGCAGCTAGATCTAGATTTGTCACATCATAAACAGTTTTCATATGATGAGATTTATAAGCTAAAACATAGCTTTTGTAAGCATCTCTTGCAGCCATTTGAAGAAAGTAATTCTTTGTAATAAGTTTTTCCAGCTGAAAAATACAGAAGCAAAATAACATTACAAAATTATTTTGTGCGTATTTCTAAATCTCTAAAATTTGTTATCAATATTAGCAATACAATATGTTTTTAAAACATTTTAACTCCAGCTACTTTTTAAATATACTTATTTTCTTCATATTTTATTAACAACTGTAAAATTAAACAAATATTTACAATCAATTCATGCAGTAAGTATGAAATTGTAAACATATAGAGTCAGCCATATTTATAATTTCAATAAGTCCTAATACTGTAAAAAAAAATTTGGTGTCTACTCTGGTGCTGGGATTTTCGTTTGATATCCAACTAACAGATAAATACTTTTATAGCAAATATAACTATTATTAAATATTTTAGTTTCTTAGACATACATTTTGATTTATATTTAAAGACAACAAAATGTGAAATTTCCAAGAAATTTATTTAAATATAAATAAATAAAATACATGGTGGTTCATAAAGACTGCCTTTAATATTTATTTCCAAAGTCAAAGAATTATTAATTCAGTGTGGAATCTTTGCTTTGTTACCTCATTTAACTTATATTTAGCTGAAATAAAAGTGGTAATTTCATTGCAAGTCGATAACTTTCAAAATTCTTATACTTTTAATAAGGAATTTTAAATTTGGCAGGATCACTTCGAGATGCATTCAATTTAAGCTAGTTCCAATAAAATTCAAAGTTTTGATGGTTCTTATATGCAGCTACTCTTAAGGCTTTTCACATGGTTTTAAAAATTCTCTTTTTTGAAAATGATACTACAATTACAGAGCACAAATCTTAAATTTGATTTAGAAGTTTTGGAAACATCTGATACATAAATTTAAATTTTGGGAATTATTGCTCACAATGGTTTTAAAATCCTAATTTTTAAACACAATATTATGAAGGTAAAAAAAAGAAAGAATGTGACCATTGATGTTAAATAATGGAATCTCGTTTTTCATTCAAAATATAAAAAGGCATGAATGCTATCTGATATTATTTTTTTTTTTCATTAGTTGTCTCTGGTACTGAAGTTAACTAGAGTTCAGCGCAAACACTGTAAGTTTAACTATACAAAGCATTTAAGCAAGTTTTTCATAAATCAAATTTTTATAAATGAAAAAGAACAGGGTTCCCATTCAATTTTTAAAAAAAAAATTCAAGGACTTTTCAATGACTTTCAAGGATTTATTTGATAATACTGTTATATGCTAAAGTACATGTCAACCAGATACTACAATTACGAAGAAGTAGAAATTATATATTTTTAAATCACAATGCTTATTTGACAAAAAAAATTATTTATTAAGTTTATCAGCTAATAATACAAATGGTTGATAGTTACATTGCTGTTTCAAATCACTTTGAAAAATTCCAATTGACATAGGATACTAGCCAACATTTAAAACTAGCATCAGTGAAACTTCATAAGAAATTTAATGAAGTGAATTAGAATCAATGAAACTGAATGAATGTTTAATGCAGATTACATTAAACGAGCATAGTAAATAATAAATGAAGTTTGTGTAATAGCACGGTTATTAAAATATAAATACTTTTTTAATATGTTAGATCAAATTTTAGGTTACAGGAAATGTATATAATTAGATAAATTATCAAAATCTAGGATAATCTAGGATAAATTATCAAAATCTGTTTCAATCTTAATATCAAATTTTCGAATTTGTTATTTCAGAATATCAGTAATGTATTTTGAACATAATAAAATCTATTGTAGAGCAATATTTCACAGATAACTAAGACTTACTGAACTTTATTTTCTGTAAAATATATCCAAGGAATGTGAAGCGTGATTTTTAAAATTTTGTGAATACGTGTAATTTTCACCAAGATTAATTTTTAAATTGCATTTATACAAATCTAGATGTACTATATGTAAATCAAAATTATAAGAAAGGTGAAGTAAGTCTCGAAGACTGCGTAAAACATGTATCACAATGTGTGATTTGTAATTGAATTGCGGTGCATGTTTCTTAAATCAGAATAATATGAATAGCAAATTATACAAAACGCACGAACTAATAACACATAAATCACAATGTGAGATACTTAAATTTGAATTCTGTTGCATGATTAGCTAACTGTTTTCATGTGAATAGTGATCGTTATGATGCAAATTGCAATTTGTGACTCGAAAGGTGCTTAATATAGAACAGTTATGCGTGATTCTTAAATCATTTTGATGAGAATTGTGGGTGGTAATTCTTAAATCTCTCTTTTGTGAATCGCAATGAGTGATTTGTAAACTAATAGAATGAGAATTGTGAGGCATGATTCTGAACTTACTTAAATACGTATCACGTTATGATTCAGAAATAACTTTAATTGAAATCAAGATTAGTGAAAATCACTTGTTGAAAATCATGTGTGATTCATAAAATACCTTAATATAAATTCTGATGAGTAATTTGCAAATCACTTCAAAGTAATATTTAATATGAGATTCATAAATCACTTTCAGTTAAACCGCAATTCGTAGAACACTTTATATGAATTCCGATTCGTAAATCAAGAATCAGTTTAATGGGAATCACGATGTCTATTCATTCGATGTAATTCTTTACATTTATTTACTATTTAAAATCAATGTATATTCTATGTCTTTCTCGAAATTCTTTCCCCTTCAAAATCTCTGTTTTTTAATTTTCTAATTAAGCGAGCACAAATGCCAAAACAATAAAACAAACAAAGAATGTTAGACATCAAAAACCTTTAAAATTATTATTTTCATGGTTAAAAGTATGATTTTTTTTTTTTTAAATGTAAATAGATATACGTAGTATACTTAATATACAGAAATGCCTGTATTTTTCAACTAAAAACAATTAAAGCACTTTTAATCAAATTTCTTAATTAAATTAACTTTTTTTAAAGTACCTGTATAACTCGAAACCTCTTTATCTCAAATTTTTAGCCCTTCACACGAGATTCGAGATAAACAGGTCAAACTGTGTGTATATATATATATAAAAAAAATTTGAATAAAGTATGTTAGAATGAATTAGCATAGCTTATTAACATAAGCTTATATGAGTATATTTTATTTATATAGGTATATATATTATTATTAAATTAGGTAACAAATTAGTTAAAAGTTGGTTAAAACTTTAGTTTATACATAAATATAAAAGCAGATTTATGTTATTAACAGATTATGATGAGTTACAAAAATACAATTAAAATGATAGTTTTTCAGAACTACTTGAGATCGAAAATTAATACCTGATTCTGAACATTTGCAATTTTTGATTTTGAGAAATCATACTCTTGAATTGGAACTCTTGCATGTTTCAAATACTTCAGAAAACCTAATTCCTCTGGTCTAAGTATGAGTATAGCGTGTCCGTTTTTATTTTCACCTCTAGCAGTTCTACCAACTCTGTGAATATATTCCTATATTTTGGGAGAAAAAAAGAATTTTAGAGTAAAAATACATATAAACATCAAAAAGCATATTAAATAAGCTTATACAGCCTGAAAATAAACATGTATTGAGTCATTGTAAATTTATATAAAAATGTAATTTTTAAATGCATTGCATTACCATGAACAAAACGTGCAGTTTAAACAACTATTTTAATTTATCACCTGCTAACAGTCAATTTATAAAGCAGTTAATGGAAAAGCAGTTTTTAATATTCAACTCTCTAACATTGTAATTTTGAGTCTGCCTCTAAAGATAAACAGACTGTTATATCAAAAATTGGGATGAACCTGCTTCTGTTGCCGTGGTGCATTTTTGAAAGAAACTAAGCAACATTTTGCATCGTGCTAAGAACAAGATTGTAAAATCTTCTATACGTCTAAAGGTTAATAGCTCCAACATTATGATTATGCACCTTTGTCATTTACCAGTTTTAGAATGTTTCTTAAAAAGTTTAAAAAAAAGTTTCCCCAATATTTACAAAAAGAAAAAATTAACATTTCTAAATTTAAATGAAAAAAAAAAGTTAAAATATTCGACTGTGAAAAATTGTGAGACAAAATTCACCCTAGCAATGATATCATTGTGCAGAAAGAAATTTTTTAGAGGTTTACTCGAATGAAAATCTTCGGAAAAGGTTTGCATTTGTTTTGAGGCAGTCGTTAAAGACATTGAGATCATAAATAATAAAATATTTTTTTAAATACCCCAACAAGCAGATAAAACTTAAATTTCTTTGTCAATTTAATTTAAGGCAAGTAAGCATGATCGAAAAAAAAATAAAATAATAATAAATAAAATTGTGTTAATAGAAATGCTAAAGAGGAATTAATCCAATTTTTCCCCAACTAAAAAGTGTATAGAAGCTTTCACTAAATTTAAATTTAATGCCAACTATCATATTTAATGAATAATAATTAAGTGAAATATAATGTACTGTATGACACATTCAGCCATCAATAAAAAAATCCTATAATATATATTAAGCCTTATTAATTTTATAAAATTATTGAAACAAATAATTATTTTAACAAAATTATAAAATTCACTTGAATATAAAATATTTAAAAAAAAAACGTATTCGTTAATAAGTGAAGTATTTCCTCTGAAAATACTTCAGTACATTACCAGTTGTAAAGTAATTTTTAGTGGTAACTATATGGGTAGCATAGCATGACATGAGGGCTAATTATACATGCAAATAAAAACAATCTTCACTGTTTTTATTTATCAATGCTCCAAATGAAAAGAAAAAAAGAGAGAAAATAAAATTATATGAAAAAGATTCTATGGAAGAATGGACATTTACAGCATTTAGATTAAATTAAAGGGTATTTCCAATAGATCTTGTTTTAAGGGGAGAAGTTAAGATGGCAACATTTCTGCAAAATGGGTGATTTATCTCTTCTAAAAAACAGGGACAATGGGCCACCCTAAAAATAAAAAAAACAATTTAAAGAAAACACTTCTATTGATTGATCTTTACCTTTGGATCTGATGGTGGATCATATTGCACAATCCAGTCAACTTCAGGTATGTCTAAGCCCCTGGCCGCAACATCGGTACATAGCAGAATACCAGATTTTGCTTTACAAAAGTTGAAGAAAGTTGATGTTCTTTTGCTTTGCTTCTGTTTTCCCTATAAATAAGTAAAAAAGGATTATGCTTCGTAAAAAAAAGTAAGAAAAAAAAAGAGAGAGACTTGGCAGGTATGTAAAAATTTCGATCAACTTTGACTGATTTTCCCTTACAATTAACAGTAGTTTATTTTTTGAACTGTTATATAATATACTTAACCAAAGAGATACTGATACAGATTAAAATAGTGCTTTTTGCTTCAGTTCAGAACTCTTAGAACAGTAAAATGAAAACTATAAAAATTTCTGGATAAAATAATGAAGGAATATTTGTAATTTGACACATGAAAAATAATTGATAGTGAAGGGAAAAAAAATTTATATGACATGTACTTTTCAAGTTAAAACTATGCCACATCACTTCCTTACTCCTATAAAAATCTATCGATTATAAAGAAAAAAAGAACAGAAATATTTGTGTAATATAATTATTATATTAGAAACTCAGATAAATTTTTGAAAAACACTTAAATTGACATTTTTCTGGAAAAAGTGGCAAAGTTAAAAAATAAAAATCAGATTACTGAAAACAATTCAAATGTTAAAAAAAGTAGTATTTCTCATCTCAATATAATATTAATTGTCTACTTTTAGCTAAGCAAAACAAAAATAACATGTTAAATACACTATATACTTTAAAAGGGGGAAAAAAATATGCTTTTTGATTACTATAATATACAAAAACATAAAAGAAAGAATGTACATAAACATCTGTATAAATTTAAACTTCTGGAACTGGATTTTCTATTAATTAATAATTTCTGGTAATTTCATAATTCTGTTTTTAAACACCAGCTTCATTGATTAGATTACTTCTATTACTAAAGGTTAGATTGGTAGACTATCAGTAAAGACTTTAAAAACAATAAAAACTCTTTTTAAGCATCTCATGACAGTTTAGATACCCAATGAATCTTGGTTTGTTATTAAAACCCATTTTTTAGTCCAGTAAAGTTAATAACTTTTTAAAATAACTAAGTTACAGTTAAAAGAAAAAAATAATTTGCTGTGCTTAGTGTTCTTAGAATCCTTGGGGAATTTTCTATACAGAAAAACGTCACAACATATAAAACATACATAATGAAGATGTTCATATTTTGCGTAGATTTGTAAAATAACAATAAAAAAATACATTTAATAATACCTTAGTCAAACATTCAAAAGCTACAAAATAAATAAATAAATAAATAATAATAAATAAAAATATAAAACCATTAAAAAAATTCGGTCTTTTGATTCTGCTTCAAGACATCAAAGCTTCTAAACTTATTTTACATTTCCAAACCTAAACAAATGTAATATGACAGTTTTTACTCACGTGAATGCAAACTGTAGGTAAATCTATGTAATTGAACAGTTCATTGTGGAATTTGACAGATAAACAAGAGCTGAAGAACACCATCATCTTCTTATTTCTATTCTTCTTTAAAAATGTAAAAAGTAGAAGAAACCTTTCAGCTGATGAACAAACTACATAGCCCTAATCATCAAAAAATAAAATATATACATTATATATTATAACCAAATGCAAATGAATAAAACAATTCTCTGAATATATTCCCTACTTTTAGGGTGGATCAAACATAAAAAAGGGGGCTCTTAAAAGTGCTATTGGGGTTACAAAAGCTAAGGATTATATAGCACATAGCAGACATTTTATGAAAAAGCTAAACAGCAATTTAAGAAGAAAAAAAAAGACATAGGTAATTAAAAGCAAACAGTTATATTAGGAACTGTTCAATTAGTTTAAAAGGTTGAATTTTGTATCAAAGAAAATATACAAAATAAAAATATAATTCAATTAGCATAATACACTTTATCATTATTTATTATCTTTTTCCCTTTCACAGATTAATAGCTCCTTTCCATAACATGAATCAGGGTGGCCACTCAAATCAGATTTCAAATTTCCCTGATTTTTCCAGGTTTTCCAGATAAAAATCTTAAAATTTCCACGTTTTTATTTCTTTTTTCGTATAAAGTGTAGGATGTGTACAAGAAAAGTGTCTATATTATGAAATATTTTATTCAAAATGTTATTTTTTAAACATATCATCTTGAAAAAAAATAATTTATTTTGGCAAGATTTATTATTTATTTTTTAATGTTTTGATACAAAATTTTGAATCAAAAATCATATATTGACCAACAAAGGAGTAAAATTAATAAAAACTTTTTTTTTAAATTAAAATATGTTATAAAAGGTTCAAATGAAATTAAAAAAAATCAGCATTAATGCAACAATTGTAACGATTTGTCGACAAACATTGCTGTTAGCTATTGTAAAAAAATGTGCGATTGGTTGGTTTGCTGAGAAAAAATAATTCACAGATTTCTTTGAATGGGAGTAGAAAAGCTTTCAGAAAAAGAGTGCAATACAAAATCTACTATAATTAAATTATAACCAACTAATTTTTGGAGAATTTTATGAAGTTAAAAATATAAAAACATTTTGTCAAAATAGAAAAAAAGAATTACCACCAAAGCATCAGAACAAACTTGAGCCATAAATGGATTCAGCCCAAGGACAGAATTTAAAAACAGAAGCTAATATCCTAATCCCTTTTTCCACCTCCACCAGAATCTTATCTAAATTGCACAGTCTCATAGCGGTCAAAGGTTTCTACAATCGTTTAGCAACCATGGGAGAATTTTATGTGGCATTCCAGTTTAACACTGTAATGGAGCAAATTTTGATGCAAGCAAAGTATCAAGCATGATGCAAGCAAAGTTGATGATATTTAAACTGTTTGGTGATACATTTCCGTTTAAAAAAAGTGGGATAATGGACGAAATAATTTAAATTAAGAAAATTAGTAAAATTAAAAAAATTACCAAAGAAAAAATTTCCAGCTTTTCTTTAAAATTCCAGGCTTTTATCTAAATTTCCCTGATATTTCCAGGTTTTCTCCAGTATACAAAAAATTCCCTGATAATTCCAGGTTTTCCAGGTGGGTGGCCACCTTGTGAATATATACATATATAGTAGGCCCTGTGCTAAGCATTCGGCACCTCACCAAATGTGAAAAAATCATAAATTTGGTGACATTTTTTTCTCAAGACTGATTTAAGTTCCTAAGACTGAAGAGTAGCAGCACCCACACAGATCCAATTAGTCCAGATAATGTAAGCAACAAAAAAGATTATGTAAGCATGAGGCAAACTACTGTAAAATACTGATCACTACATTAGCTGCTGATCCCAATGTGACAAAATTTTGCCCTACTGTTTGTGTTAAAAAAAATTTAGTGGTAGCAAGATGCATATTGTCATCTAACTGTTCTTACAGAAAATATGTTTTCCTGTGATAACATATGCAATAACATGCTTTATGCTTATCCTTATACTAATATTACTGCTCGAGTCTAATGATAAAGCATTAATATTTTCATCCCCTCACCCATTCATTGCTCATTTATTCCTCCCCCACTACAAAATGACTCTTGATTTGAATTTGCATTTTATAAAATAATTCAATTTGTTGTAAATTTGTATTTTAATCTGAAGTTTTCCATGGGGAAAAAATCAATCATAAAATTCTTTTAAGATTTGCTCCCGGTTAAGAATTTTGAAATTTGGCTAATACTTTTGATATTCGACTTACTTACTGATTAATAATTTGAAGCATTTAAGAGCAGCCATCATGCAATAAAACTTCCGAAAAACAGTTCCTAATAGGACTGTGCCTATGTGACAGGTATTAAGAGGCCACTGCTATTTGGAGTTATATGTGAATTTCTTAAAATTCTTTTGTTAAAGAATTACAAACAGCATCAAACAATAATGCAAAAGAAAAAAAAAATCAATAATTACAAACAAGATGACTCAAATAAATAGTTAACTTACCTACTATTTTTTTTATCATTATTACAACGATCACTTTTTAAAAAATGGCATCGATTTGCTATTTTGGACAGCCATATAGTGAAGCTAATTTTCATGAGCATATAATATTTTTTTTTACTATAAATAACTTTTTTTTAATATTTAAATGTAATTTTCGCTTATTCATTAATCAGAATTCTATTAAAGTTATCCATTCTTCTAATATTTAAAACATGAAGGAAAAAAAATGAAATCGCTTAACCAACACTGGTCAGGGGAAAGTACACATTATTTTTTGCTTGCAAGTGCAGGCAATTTTTATAAATGGCTATTAGTTGAAACCTGACCAATGACATATCAAAAATTAGCCCTCATTGTGAAAGTTAGAACAAGATTCCCAGTGATTTTTGCAGACAACCCATAATAACCGCAAATTATGTGCATTGAACTGTCATAACTGTGATTGACTTATCTATATGTATAGTAGTGATCAGTTAAAATTATTGTAGATAAGTATTGTAGATGAAGAATTTGAAAAAATTGACTAAGACACACCATGATAAAAAATTTACACTAGCAATAAGTCAATGTTGTTCAGAAATTTTCTTTCAAAGGTTTTCCATAAAACCTATGGAATACCATGGAACCTATTCCATGAAACCTATACAGTGTTTTCATCTCAGAAAAAAAATGGGTGAGAATTTCTCACCCTTTCTCAGAAACAGGGTGAGATNAAAAAAAAAAAAAAAAAAAAAAAAAAAAAAAAAAAAAAAAAAAAAAAAAAAAAACAAGAGACTTAAAAAAAATAAATCATTTCTTTAATAATAATGCATTTTTAACATCTTCTAATTTTTAAAGCATTGAATATTTTTGCAGCATCATCAAATGGAAAATGTTCTACATCTACTTTTTCATCAGCTATTCTCATTAGGTTGCTCAAATGCGTATTTGTTTCGTTTTGATCGTTTCTACCCACATTTGTTTCATTTTCATTTGTCCGTTTCGGAGTAGAAGATATTGGCTTTACAAGGTATTTGTCCATCTTACATTAACGAGCAAAAAATTTGAACGTCTTACATGAAGAAACCTTACCTACGGTAAACACGTGGTTGCAGAGAAATGCGTTCTGAAAGAGGTTCCGTGGTTCGGAAGGATGGTGTTCTGTTGTTCTTAAAGGTTCTGAACAATACTGGTAAATAGGGAAGCTAGATAATGGGGCAGATGTTGAAAATAATAAAAGATCCAGGAAGAAAAGTGAAACGGATTTTATTCTAAATGGCGCAAATGAGAAATTTTTTTCAAAATGCGAGAAATTCGCGAATTTTGAAATTGGTTTATAGAATGCGCGAATTTCTCGCGGTAATCATTTTTTAATGCGAGAATATAAAAAAATATGCGAGATTCTCGCGTTCTCGCTCTGCAGTGAAAACACTGCCTATATGTCAGTATAATAAACATAAGGTCATTTTCGGGAGGTTATAATTGTACAAAGGTGGTCGTTAACAGAAGTTTTACTATATATAATACATCTACTTGTTTACCTGTTTTAAGCCTTCAACAGTTGCTTTCTCTTCTACTTCATCAACCCCAATATAAAGAGGATCTTTTTTCAAAGCTACATTAATCAAATCATTAGTTTTCTTCGTGAGGGTAGCACTAAAAAGGAGTGTTTGTCTCTTTTCTAGGTAAAAGAGAAAAAAAATTTTATTATTTAAAGGAAAACCATTACAGACATCTTTGAAACATTATAAAGAAACAGGAATAATTATTCAAAAATGGCAAAAATAATACATCAAATACAACTGTTAAGACTCCAGTTTTGTAACAAGACTTTTAACAATATTCTGAATATGAAATAAAGAAATAAAATATGCTTCCAGTTTAATAAAAATTACTAATAAAATGTACTTAACTTAATGAATCTTTTTTTTTTTTTTTTGTACATCCAAGTAACTAGACACGTAAAAGAAACAACAAAATTAATTGATCAAGAAAATTTTATGAGCTTATTGGGACTTTTTAGAAAAATGCAATGAAGCGAAAAATGCATTTTCAAAATGTAAAATAAATAAATTCAAAAATAAACTACAAAAAAAGGCTAAATTGAGTATGGCATATTAGAAGGAGTACGGAATTACCACCAGTTCCGTTGTTAAAACATCTAACATTAAAGACACAAAAATGGTTTATTTATAACAATTTAAACACAACTCTTCTGCTATTGCAACAATATACAGAGAAAAAGGCATACAATTTTATTTATTTCTGACAGTCAGAATCAATTATATCAATAAAGCAAACAAATGTGGGAAATAAAGCAATTTTTCTCCTACCAAAAGAAAAAAGTTTCTGTTATTTTTAGAAACTTAATTACACATTTTAAAAGAATGCCATGATTTTAACTAAATATCTATTATGCACTGTCATTTCTCTCGCAAGCTTACTACTGAAATAAACAATGATTATTGATTGTAATTTGCTGTTGCAATGGCCTTTTACTGTACTTTATTTATAATGACAAAAGAGAATTTAACACTAAGATTTACTTGGAAGAGTTTGAATTATTCTACGCATATCCTCTTCAAATCCAATGTCCAAGATTCTGTCAGCTTCATCAATTATCAGACATTTTAAATTTCTGTACAAAAATTGTTTGGTATTCTAAAAAAAAAAAAAATAAAATAATGATAATAATAATAAATAAATAAATAAAAAAAAAATGAGCACACAATAGTTTAACATTAAATCAAAAACACTAAAGCAAGAAATGGAATTTCACATTATCAGAAAAAAATGTCAAGCATTAGTTGGTTTCAGAAGATTTTTCAATAAAGCAAACAAGCATTTTTATTTGTTCTGAAGTTTTAAGGCAGCAATTTTCTCCCATAATGGATAAAGGAAAATCGATTTCTAGTATGGAAAGAAATATGAGACAATGTTTCAATTTATTAAATTTGAAATTGCACGCAAAAAATAATTTAGAATGTTCCTGAAAAAGGTTCCCATTTTAATTTAGGGCAAACACGATTATAGTGACCCTTACAGTGTAGCGTGGTTCAGATCATGTTGAAGCCCAATTGTGCTACTGCGTAAACATACAACTTTTGCAATTCTTAAACCAAAAGAGTAGCTCTTTTGAACTATGATGTATAGATGAAATTGCTTGATTATGCCTGGCAATAATGTGTGAGTATGAATGAAAAAGAAATGCCTTTATTTCTAGTGACTTATTCGCAGCATTAAGTAACCTACCTTTTAAACAAATGTATATCCCACTTATACAGGTGGCCCAAAAGAGGTTATTTAACTAGACCATCTTTTCTACTTAAACCAGTTCAATTTAATTTAATAGGATCTTAATTAAGACTATAAACCTTTAAAAGAAAAAATATGTCTTGATATGGACATCCAATAATTTAATGAATTTAGTAAATTATCTTTCAAATCGATGATCTTACGGTGTAACACATAATTAAACAAATGCAGGCGCTTTGTTACTCGGTGTCAAGAAAACTTTTGTTCCGGCTAAGCCTAGTACTCAAGGTGTGGAAGATCTTTGTAACTATTCCAGGATCCGGCCCAGTCAAAATTAATTATAAAAAATGTAGTGCTTTTTAATTACGTTTTAAAAAGAAAACTGAAAAGAATTCGCTCATAAATGTAAAAATTACTCTTTCGAATAAAGGCTTTTTGAAAATTCTCCAAAATATGAAAATAATTTTTAAGGGGGTCCTGGAACTTTTAAAACCTGTTTTAAGTCTTGGTTACAGCTTCACTAACTTGGACATGCAGTTAGAGTACTACTCAAAATATACAAAGCAAAATACAGGCAAAAAAAGGGGGAGAAATAAGAAATGGGAAACTAGTTTACCAAGGTTTTGGGATTAAAGAAGTTTTAGAAGATCGAAAGATCCATGAAGCATCAAAATACTCACTTTTAAATGATCAAGAAGTCTACCAGGTGTAGCAACTAAAATATTCATTCCTTTGGACAATTTTTGAGCCTCTGATTGCCTACTTGTTCCACCCATGATAAGTCCATGAGTGAAAGAGTGATATTTTACCAATTCTTGAAGGACTCCATATGTTTGCATTGAAAGTTCTCGTGTAGGAGATATAATTAAAATACCAGTTCCTTGGCTTTCAGTAAAATCTAGCTTCTTTAAAAGTTCAATTGCAGGAATAAGAAATGCTAGAGTTTTGCCACTGCCTGTTTTTGCAGACACTACAGCATCACTATAAATGATAAATCAATAGTTAAGATTTTAACATGCAAAATATATCATTATAAACTGGGTTGAGCTTTTTAACATCAAAAACTAGTTTATACTGTCTTAAACTGATTTAAACTGTTAAAAAACTAAGATTATTATAATGCAAGCGAAGTTTTAACAGTATAGAGAATATTTTTTAAAAAAACACATATATTCAAATTAACATACATGAGTACATAAATATATGCAAACATAATGAAGATATGAAATATATTACTGAAATATGAAGATCATATCAGAGTAGAAATTTTAGTTTAGAGATGCCACAATAAATATTTTCAATTTGTCTTCACATTTTTTTACTATTTTATTTTGAGAGCTCTCATTTCTCAAAGACTATTGTAATACAGTTGAACCTGTTTATCTCGAACCTGCTTATCTCGAAAACCTGTATTTCTCGAAATTTCTTAGTTTCCCGACATTAATGATTTAATTTTAATGTATTTTTCCAAGTTTATCTCGAAAAAATTTCTTTCAAAACCTGTGTTTCTCGAATTTTGAAGGAGAATGTACATCATCGTAACCGATGCCTGGACAGCAGAACTTGTTCAAACAAGCTACATTAGAAGAACCGAAAAATTCCCTAGCCCCATGGGAAGTAAGAATGAGCAGATTGGGGGGTCGTTTCTTGGAATTTCCGATTACTATCGTCACACTCTTCAACCAATTGAGTGTATTCGGACAATGAAAAGTTGATTGATGAGGAGGCGTCACCACTAGGCATCAGTTTCCACACATGGATAAGAACAACGCAAAGAGAAATTCATTTTATCAGTAGAATTTTTTAGAAGGTCGTTGGTTTGAGCGTCTCAGTCTTTTTTAAAACATTGTTCAATTGAATTTTGATTAAGTATGGCAGGGGCTAAACGTAAATTGAATGTTCTCTCCATTGAAGAAAAAATGAAAATTTTAACATTCTTGGACGGAAATTCATTAATGAAAAAAAACGAAGTTGCGGTGAAGTTCGGTTTACCAGCAAGCACTCTTTCTACAATTATTAAGAATCGAGAAGCTGTGGAGCAAAAATTTCATAGCAGCAACAAGAATGCGAAAAAAAGCCGAAAATGCACTTTTCCGGACGTGGATGAATGTGTTTTAAAATGGTTTACACAATGCAGGAGCAGCGGTATTCCTATCAGTGGACAAATAATGCAACAAAAAGCTGAGGATTTTGCTAAAGAGCTTGGCCATGAAGATAATTTTAAAGGCAGTAACGGATGGCTAGAAAGTTTTAAAAATAGGCACGGTATTATTTTTCGAAAACTTTGTGGTGAAAGTGCCTCTGTTCCGGAAAGTGTATGCGAAGACTGGATTAAAAACATTCCTGATTTAGTGAAAGGCTATGAGCCAAAAAATATTTTCAATGCTGACGAGACAGGACTGTTTTATCAATGTTTGCCAGACAAAACTGCTATGTTTAAAGATGAAGCATGCAGGGGAGGAAAACAAAGTAAAGCTCGTTTGACATTGCTCTTAGCTGCAAATGAAGCAGGCACAGAGAAACTTCCTCCTCTCATGATCGGACGCTCAGAAAAGCCTAGATGCTTTTCTAAAGTAAAATCCTTCCCTTTTCCATACAAAGCAAATAAAAAATCTTGGATGACGAGTGAAATCTTTGGAAATTGGTTAAAGTCCTTAGACAAATCCATGCGATTAAAAAAAAGAAAAATTATTCTTTTTATAGACAACTGTAGTGCGCATAACAATCTGCCTGAACTGAAAAATGTTTGTGTTAAGTATTTTCCCGCAAACACCACCTCAAAGCTTCAACCTATGGATCAGGGAGTAATCAGAAGTTTTAAAGTTAACTACAGAAAACAGTTGATCCGCAAACTCGTAGATGCAATTGATGAAGGAAGTACCCTTCCCAAGATAAATGTACTGGATTCTATCAGAATGACAGACCACGCATGGAGAAATGTAACACAGAAGACCATTCAAAATGGTTTTAAAAAAGCTGGGTTTAAGAATGAGTGTGAAGAAGAGATGGGGATTATTGAAGAAGAGACTGAAATTTCCGAAAAGGAAGCTGAAGAAACTTATATCACTGATGAAGAAATGATCGAAATAAATTCACAAGATTGGAATGCAATAAAATCTGGATTAAAAGTGAACATTTCCTTTGAAGAATTTTTGCAAGTGGATGACTCCTTGGCCACATGTGGAACTTTGACAGATTCGGAAATTGTCGATAATGTCAGATGCATTTCCGAAGACGAAAATGAAGTAGACGAAGAGCATATAGAAGCACCGAAAGTGACAGTAAAGGAAGCTGAAAAAGCTGTGGAACGTTTAACAAACTTTCTTGAATGTCAAGAAAACGTTGGACACGAGGGGTTCGCTGCTCTCTCCAACATTCGAAAAATTATCGAATCAAAGAAAATCCGACGTCAGAAATCATTAAAAGACTACCTATGAGGTGCGTATGACTGTTAAAAACTTTTATTAGATGTAATTAATATGTAATCATAATTAAATTCTTTACAACATAAATGATTTAAAGTTTCTTTTAATTAAACATTGCTGCTCGAATTTCATTTTTTAAACTTACCTGTATATCTCGAAACCTCTCTATCTCAAATTTTTTCCCCGTTCCCGCGAGATTCGAGATAGGCAGGTTCGACTGTATTTCAAATTAAAATCTTTTAACCCAGCAATATATCTGCAGCTACATTTAAAACAATGAAGATCAATAAAATCTTTGTTCAACCTTTTATAAAATGCTATATATATATTTATAGTTCCTTTAAATAAAAATCATCTGATTTAAATCAATGACTTTTAAAAAAATCATTTGGTTTAAATCATGATTTAAATAAATAAACTCACATTGTCAGCAATCTGCACATTTAATAATTTAACTTTAAAAATAAAAGATTGACAATACATCATTTTTATTTATGGTCATATTATGATAGAGAAATATTAAGTTTAAAATTTTTTTATTAGTAGATTTTCTTGTTGAAAGCAACTTTTTAACAATTATTAATTTCCAACTGATCTTTAATTAGCATAATAGTTGAATAACCCTTCTTTGTATGGGATGAAAATAAAAATTAAATGAATAAATCAGTACTGAACAACACTATAATACGATAACAAACACTGAACGAAGTGTGCAAAAACAATAAATTAAGCCAAAATAATCTCAATTTTTAAAATTTTATATTTTGCCCTTTCTTGCGACTTCATGCTATTAAAAACACATTTTTAATAGTTTATCAAATTAAAATAAGGATTAACTGTCTTTAGTATTATTTAGGCATGATGCTCTTGCCTGAGGGAAACTCATCAGAGTCAAAATTTACCACAATTAAGAGATTTTCTCCTGTTCTTGTCCATTTTAAAGTGGCTATAAAAAGCCTCCTTACAGTTTCTATAGTAAAATTGCACAGCATTCGAGCTATACTAATATTCTTTTTATCCATATTAAAATATTTGGTACCTATTAAAACTGGACCAATATCAACAATACCAGTAGCACCCATTACCAAAACTAACTAAGCATTATTGGTGCTGAAAATACAATGGTGTTTCTCATAAATAAATTAGTAGAATCTAACCATAAATAATCACCTGTGAGATTTGTCCTAAAATCAAAGCTGGTTTATGGATAAATCTTTTAGTCAAAGTATCATAATCCTGTGAGGCATAACTTCTGTTTTTAATTCATAAATTTTATTAAAAACTATAAAAACTGCATCACCAGAAATATTGCTATTAAAAACCAATTAAAAAAGAATTCATTGCTTCTATTTGACAAACATGCTGTTCTCATGCAGCAGCCATAATTCTAACGACTTGTTGCTTTGATGTAAATCAGAATTAGTTATTACGGTATTCAATCACAGCTGTACAAAACATTTTAAAAGCATCTTTGTGTTGATCTTTGGCAAACTTTTTTAAAATCTTGTTTAATCAATGTTTGGAAATTCTGATAATATTGAAATTAAACCTTATCTACAAATTTAAGTTATTACACACACACACACACATATATCGGAACAGTTTGCTTGCATTAAAGCTTTGTGAAAGCTTTTCTTTTTAATGTTATCATAAAATTTTAGCATTGAAACATTTATTTTAATGTAATAAACAAGTATCCTGAAAAATATCCACGACCTTAGAACTTTAGGAAAGAGAATGGCAACCATTTTTAGTTAATTCTGGAAAAGTATTTTTTATTTATGTACTTATTTTTAGCTTTTGATATTTGTGATTTGCAGATGAACACTAAATTGAATCTGCAATGATTATAAGGAATGACATAAGCTTTTTGGCTCAGTACAGTTTCACCTGTAAATTTCCAGCATTGCTTCGTTATTAATAATTATCACATCCAATAATAATGAGTAAACATTATTCTATATGTATTAAATCATTATCTTTATTTTATAAGGAACTTAACTAGTTATATATTGCAAATAGCAGATATATATATACAGTTAAACACTCATCATTAAATCTAAAATTTATTTATTATAAGGGAGATACTTTATTTTTGCTTCAAAGTTTTGGAAACTATATCGGCTAATGCATTAATCTACAATTTAGATCATAAAATAAAAATATAATAAGAAGTTACATGAGAATTAGTTATAGGAGGCTATATTATAAGAAAGCTTCAAATAATTTTATTATATGACTAGATCACTAGAGTAAAATATATATGCTAAATAATTTTGTGAATCTATGAAGTAGGAAGATTTTAGGCATTGAAATGTTATATACCTGCCCTCAAGTAATTGAGGAATTGTTCTCGCTTGAATCTCAGTCATCTGTTCAAATCCCATGTCAGTGACTGCTTTAAGGGTATTTTCAGACACATTTTGTTGAAGAGTATCAAAACTAATGTTACTCAGATTCTCCATTGCAAATTTTTAAGCTAGATAAATCAAAAGGAACATATTAATTATTGTGAGATTATAATGATATTCATATAACACATGTTGAAAAATGTCAACATAATAAAATTTATGATCTAAGCACGATAAAAGTTAGAAATCCACTAATGAAAGAGGTTTTAAATTTTTTGTAAAACATTATTTACTAAATCTAAGATTTTAATACATAAACATTACCATCTAATCTTCTTTCTATAGTCAGATTAGGCGAAATATTACATTCTTTCTTTCACTTCAAAAGAATCATAAATACGCAAAATAATTGATAAAATAAATTTTATAGTTTATAAAAAATAGTGTTAGCAATACAAATCTCAAGAAAATAGAAACTGTTACTAAGGTAAATAACATAGTAATGTTTCCGACGATAAGAAATTGTGGGGAAGAACTTTAATTGAATTAACGCTTATAAAATTCAAATATTTATAATTAGAGGACATTTTTGGGAAGGGGAAAATGTATTTATCGTTTAATTTGTAATTATGGAGAATAATTAACACAAGCGGACAAGGAAAATCGAATGAAGTTATGAAGACACAATTCAGATTTACATATATATCAGTACTAAATCACAAATAATTTACAAAAACTGAATTATTATCATACACATACTTTTAAAACAAGTCATAAAATTAATTTTTTAGTTGAAACACGACAAAAATCATTTGAAATGTATTGACATGACCATTGCGACCACGCATAAATCTCAAGTAAATATAAACAAAGAAATATGGGTTGCAGTTAGTTTGATAATTTACTAAAATCGAAAACTAAGAATTTATTTGAGGACATTTTTAACAAGGAATCAGTGAAAAATAATTATTGAATTTTAATCAAAATAATTCCGATTTCGAATATCAAACTTTTAAACTATTTTTATTAAAATAAATAAAGAAATAAATTTAACTGCAGCCTTGATTTAGTACTTGTTTTGTTTACAGTGTCCTCGGGGGAATCAAAACAACATGCTGTGTTTCATTTATTTAGAGATGAGAAAATTTCAACTGAATAGAAAATAGCTACCATTTCACTTAAGTCAGTCAGTCAATTTCATACTAAATAAATTTATGTAATTTAATATAATTTATGTAAGGATGTAATTTAATGCCTCTTTTAAATGAAATTGTAACTAAAACTTTATTCCAAAGAATAATTCAGATCGGAAACTTCTGTAAAAAGTTTGTGAGTTTGCAAATTGATTAATTCATTTAAAATTAAATAAGAAACCATGGAATGTTATTATATCATTTCTTAATATAGCTTTTAATGAATCCAATTACACTGGATGATTTGATTTTAAAGTAGATCAATTGAACTTTTATTTATTTTAATATTTCTTTTTTAAAGTATTTCTTCTCTACTTAAAATAAAAAGTTAAATTACTGTCCTAGTTTCTGAAATTCAAAAATACATTGAAATATATTTCTCTTTTAACATAAAATTAATAGACATATTAAGCTCAATATTCTGAGTACTGGTGAGATATGATTATTTCAGTTTATGTTCTTTTTCAGAACTAAGTATTACTGTGGAAAAGTAAGATTTGTCATGGAAAGATTAAGTGAAATTCCTTTTACTGAATTAAATGGCAAAGTTAGCGAAGAAACACTGAATGCTGTGACAGATATGGGTTTCCATAACATGACAGATATTCAAGCTAGGTCTATTAACAGATTATTGAATGGCAGGTAATTATTTTTCAGCTTGAATACATACTGAAGCATGTTCATGTCAAAAAAATGAAATTTTCAAGCTCAGTGGTTGTTGTTAAATTTCTTAATTAAATTTAAATAACATGAGTTTAAATAACTTCCCCTGAAGGCAATCAGTCTGCATATGTAAAACTTTTCATTCCTTAAAATGTATATTCCTTATTTTATAGTTTATGAAATTTTAAACATAATGATTAACTAGTATTTCGGAAAATTTTAGTAATAATTTTTAAAAGAAAATATATATGATAGTTTCACATTGATACCATGCGAAATAAATTGTAATAGTCCGCGAAATAAAATAACTTAATTCGTGTTGTATTTTTATCAGGATTTGGCCCACCCAGAAGAAATTTCTTTGTTTCCAAGTAATGAAAGAAACCTCTTGAAATAAGAAAATAGTTAAAATTAAATTTCTTTTCTTCTTACTGACAAGAACTAAAGTTTGTATATTTAATAGTAATGGTCAGGTATTTGATTCGTTTTCAAATTAATATTTTAAATCATCAACTGAGCCTCCTTATTTAAAATTACGCCTCCTTATTCATAATTCCTTGAAAGCCTGTTACTTAAAACAATTTTCACATTTGTGTAATGCTTATCCAGTCTTTTGTCATTTTCTTTGATTTATTTAATACCTCCTTAACTCCTTTTTGCTGATTTTAAGTATTGACGTGTTTTTATTTTCATTAAAAAATAATTACTTATTAGTTTAATTTATCCAAGATGGTTCTGTTTTTCTTTTTACTTTATTTTGAGTAAGATATTCAATAGAGAGTAAAATGGATAGTCAATAAGGTTATAAATTTTAATATTTAGTAGTAAAATATAATAATATTTATCATCAAATGACATTAGATATTAAGATATTAAAACTTAAATAAATATGTTCAGTTTAATTTACTTTAATGAAATTGTAACAGTATACATATATATACGTGCATGTAAATTTAAGGGTGACTATAAATTAATCTTACACATTGATTGCTTTTAGTCTATGTATTTTAAACAGTTTTATGAATTGAACTAGAAAGGAAAATTTTAATAGTCCAGATCATTCTTTATCATTACTTAATTTTCTTTTGTATGAAAATTTGTCCAACATATTGAAAATTAAAGGGTTATTTTTTTGTATGTGTGTGTGTGATTGAAGTGAAAAATAATATGACAGATCAGAATTGTATCTAAAGAGGCAAACTGATATGTATTTGGTGAGACTGCAATAGAATGTGATCAACTATTAAATGAGAAGAAATACTATATGTGACTTACTGAACAATTTAATAATCAAATCCAAACAAATTAGCCAAATTTGTTCTAGTAAACAAACAAATTTTTACCATACATTTATTAAGTGCTTCCCGAACTTGTCAAATTAAGACTTTCATGTATTCTGCTCTCGATAAAATAATTTGAATGACTGAAAAAGGAGAAATTCCTTCTCTAGAAAGAATCAAAATCCTTCTTGCAACTTTCTTTAGAGAAAAACAATAAAATGTTGAGACATTTAGAAAATGATGGTACATTTTCAATGATGTTTTATTTAATTTGTTTTTAAAAAAGGCACAAACTTTTTCAATCACCTAATAGAAGAAAAAGGTAATTATTTTTCATTCATTATAAACTTTGTTTTTTTTTTTTTTTTTAGTGATGCAGTTGTGGCTGCCAAAACAGGTAGCGGAAAAACTCTAGCTTTTCTCATTCCTGCTGTTGAACTCTTGTGCAAAGTTAAGTTTTCACCAGATGATGGTACTGGAGTATTGATTATATCACCCACTCGAGAATTATCTATACAGACAAATCTAGTTTTACAAGAACTTTTAAAATATCATGCATTTTCATATGGATGCATCATTGGTGGTACTAATAGAAAGATGGAAGCAAAAAGATTAACTATTGGTGTTAATATATTAGTAGCAACACCAGGAAGACTGTTAGATCATTTACAGGTAAGAAGAAAGTTTATTGATTATTTTTCAAAGACATTTTCTGTGATTTTTATAACAGTTTTTACTAATTAAGGATTATCTTTGTGTCACATATTTTTTTTTCATGAACACAGCAGTCTTAAATACACAGTGGTTAGAAAAATGGTTCAAAGAAATACATTCAGAAAGTGTTCTCTTTTTATACTGGGAATATTTTCAGACAGCAGTAAATCTTCAAATAATTTAATAATTGAGAAGTCCAAAAACTATTTAAGATAATGAAAAACGACAATAAATTGGAGCTCTTTATATAACTTATGTTACTTTTTATGGTTATGCTAACTTTTGTATAAATCTGGTGAAAGTAAATGATGTTTGGTGATTTGAATATAATCCTGAATTGTTCGGAAAATTTTAATAACCAAACATCATTGATTGATCTGACAAAATAGGGAGGTCAGTGTTTTCACTACAGCACGAGAATCTCACATATTTTTTTTTCTCGCATTAAAAAATGATTAACGCGAGAAGTTCGCCCGCGAATCTCTCGAATTTTGGAAAAAAATTTCGTCTCCCGCCATTTTGAAAAAGATATGAAAACAGCTACAACAAGTGTTGAGAAAAAAAATGAGTCGTTTATAATAAGTTGTTTAAAGCTAACTCTATTTTTAGCTGTTAATGAATTACCAAACTCCCTGTCGGCAATTTGTAAAAGTTGAAGTCTGTGAAAACTATGCTGGAAGACCTAACAAGAAGTATAAACATGGAAATGACTTCAACGAACTTCACTATTCTATAACAGAAATAATTGAAAAGCCTATGCTAGCATATGTAGAGGATAGGAAAGTGTGTGCACAATGCTACAAATTTAATTAGTGATTCCGAATAGTTCAGCATCTGTTGCAAGGTCATTTAGCACCCAAAACCGAATTAAAACAAAATATTGCAAGATTGACTGATGGGCATTTGAGCAACCTAATGAAAAAGTAGACATAGAACATTTTCCATATGATGATGCAGCAAAAATATTCAATGGTTTAGAAATTATAAGATGTTAAAAATGTATTATATTTAAAGAAATTTTTTTTTCCAAGTCCATTCCTGTTTTTTTTAATTTTTAGAAATCTCACTTAACTTTTTGAAATCTCTCCCAGTTTTTGAGAAAGGATAAGAAATTCTCTCCCATTTTTTTTTCTGTAATGAAAACGCTGGAGGTGGGTTCCTATTTATAGAAAAAATGTTACTGATCCAATTATTAAACTGACTCTGGGTAAATTTCCTGATGAAGGAGAAGACGCAACTCAAAAGGGATTCATTCCACAGAAAAAGACCTTAAAATCATGTGATTGAAATCTATGTTTGGATAAAAATAGCCATGTTTGTTGATCTCATTTTAGAATTCTGAGCTACTGAACCAAATTGATTAGAATACTTTTTTTTATTAGTGATTGTGTTACTGATATTACTAACAATAAGTTTTGTTCTCAAGCTATTTATTTACTTTTCATCTAACTAGAAATTTTACAAAGGGTTATTTCAGATGTAAATAACATAATCTTAGAACTGTGTCTGGAAAATAATAATAATTTTTTTTGCAGAGCATTTCAGATTTATTCATTAATAATCATTTTCTATTACTGTCTCTTAACCACATATCCCATCTTTGTATAAAAATTGTCTGGTTATTTTCCAACAAAAGTTATAGAATGCTTTTAATTTCTTCTACTAAAAGAAATTTTAGCCTTTCAAAGTATTTTGTTGAGAGCAAAAAACATTTAAAACTTGAGTTGACTATGTTATTGTAAATGTGACGAATCCCTGCTTCTTAATGTTATCTGCTAAGCTATGTATGGTGAACAGTTGTGTGCATGATGCGTTTTCCTTGCATCAAGCCTTATACTTTCTATATTTTTCAAAAACGAAAGTTTGCAAATCTAATCTAAAGTCAGTTTTAGTGTGATTCATTTTTGCTTTTATTTCATTTAAATGAAATTGTATTACAATTATTTATTGGTCTAATTCTTCAGCAACAACACCAGACACATAACAACACTTTTTTGTTATGCAATTTAGATTGGGCTCCCCTAATATTTTAAGTATTTTCTGAATGAAAATAGAGTTTAAATTTGTAAGAAAATTTCTACATTTTTTAAAAAAAAAAAGAAAAAAAATTTTTGCTGAGAAAGCACTTAAAAATTATCATGCTGTAATATGCACCTATGTTGTTTATCTGCTATGAAAGAAAAATTAATGAATGTTTTTCAGAAATGAAATTCATATTGCACTTCTGTGGAGGTTATTGAATCAAAACAAATGTAAGTAGTATACATTGATTTTTCATTTGAATTTGATTTTAAAAATAAATGGGGCAGATATAATACAATTACTATGCACAACACGAATTTTAATGCTAATAACTTAATAGGAAATTATTTTGGGGGTTAACTTGATTATAAACAATCACCAAATTTATCAGTCTAGATTTGCCATAAGTATCGCTATGTGTATATAAGACCAGTAAAAACAACAGTTTCGTCAGCCTGAATTCATTCTGTGCTGTTTATATTTAGGTATTCCATTTTCAGTTATTATTTTGTGTTTTGCTTCATGATGTTTACTGATTATCATTATTGCTCCACAAAAGAAAAAGTATTTCTGCTTATAATGTCCGTCTGGAATTTTTTAAAGTTAGTGGATGTTTATGAGCTTTCTCCAAATTTTAGTTTTTTAAAATTCTCTAAAAAATCTTGGCTTACATTTGGAGATATATGGTACTTTATTTAACTAAAGTCTTAGCAAAATCATTTAGGCCACTATTTTTTTTATTCCACACGTAAAATAAAATTAGATGGTTCTTAAATTTCTTTTGTAAAAAGAAAAAGTAACAGAATCTCCGAGGTTTTTTTTTCTTCCCTTGTTGGTCATGATCTATGGTCACAAAGGGAGTGCATATTGCACCGTCATATGAAACTCAACAAGAAATTCCATGGTTTAAAAGGAGGCATTCACAATCGTTGTAAACCTTTTTTTAGAAAGGTACAATAAGTTAATTAGTCATATTTTTCATGTTTGAACTATTAATTTTTTTCCCTCAGAAAATGTTATTCCTTCTTGGTGGTTTAATTTGGAGTTATGACACATGGTATTCACATCTCATTGCTAGAATTTAGAATTAGTAGTTATTAGGATGTATTTTATTTATAAAAAATGGCTCATTAACTGTACTTTCTCTGTTTGAAATATTTATTCCTGCATTTGCATCTTATTTGTTAGATTTCGTTTAGATTTAGCAGCTATCTAGATCGATTTTATTTATTAAAAATGGCTGCTGAGATCCAGTTTATTATTTTTTTAATATATTTTTTGCCTATATTATATTTAAAGTTACAAATCAACTGAAATATAATTTGCATTATTATATTAATTATTTTGTTAATTTCCTAAATCTTATTTAAAGCATTGTTTCATTGAAATTAGCTAAATATTTTTTTTATTTTTGCATTAATTTATGGTATTTTTGTTTACTCCTGATATTACAGCTTAACAGTACTGCTTTAATTCTCATTTGGATATTAGTGATTGCTTGCATAAAATCCTGCAGGTTTTGATATATACACTCATATCTATAAATTGAGGATAATTCAGAATCACATGGAAATTTAATTCTGAAGTGAAAATATCACCTGTTGAATTATCACACAAATTTTCAAGAATAATATGCAAATTACAGGAAGCCATCAAATGATGCTGATAGTACGTCACAATGACGAGAGTGTAAGAGAGGATTATATAAGAAATGGTGGCAAAAAAAAAGTCAAACTGTTTACAAATATTCTATATGCTGCTCAGTTCCATAATCAAATAGTTATGATACAGAGGATGCATGTAGCTGACTTTTTGCGTGGGACTATTATCATGATCGGGCAAGAGCTACTGGAAAGTGAAGATATCACACGAATGGATTGGCCAGCTTACTCTCCAGATCTAAATCCCATAGAGCATGTGTGAGATGCATTAGGGAGACGTCTTGCGACACGACAGTATCCTCCCGGTAACACCCATCAGCTGAAAGATGCGTTAAAGCAGGAATGGAGACGTTTACCCCAAGAACTGGATTATCTGGTGCTTAGCATGGAGAGACGATGCCAAGCAACAATTACAATAAGGGGAGGGCATTTCCCATACTAGGGAACATCTGCCAGTTGTACTTACGCTTCTTCAGGCAATCATGTGTAATGCCACTATATGTCAAATAAAGCCTTTTTTTGTTCTATACCCTACTTTAAGCTTTATATTCATCTCTGCGCGATTATTCTTTTACCATCGTTTAAGTACAAAATAATGTACATCATATTCGAATTTCATGTCAATCGGATGATTTCTTGTAGAGTTATGACAAAAAATGCACTTGTTGCTTAAGTTTTGCACACCAGTGTAGTTTTAAATATATGAAAATAGAAATGTTTGTATAAAAAAATTACCTCTTTTGACTGTCTTTGAAAAAAAAAATTTTTTTTTCAGAACTCATCTAAGATTGTCTACAGAAAATTTAAGTGTTTGATAATTGATGAAGCTGATCGCATACTAGATACTGGATTTGAAGAAGATCTTAAACAGATCATTCGAATTTTACCGAGTATATATTCATCTCTGCGCCATTATTTTTTTACCATCGTTTAAGTACAAAATAATGTACATCATATTCAAATTTCATGTCAATCGGATGATTTCTTGTAGAGTTATGACAAAAAATGCACTTGTTGCTTAAGTTTTGAACACCAGTGTAGTTTTAAATATATGAAAATAGAAATGTTTGTATAAAAAAATTACTTCTTTTGACTGTCTTTGAAAAAAAAAATTTTTTTTTTCAGAACTCGTCTAAATTTGTCTACAGAAAATTGAAGTGTTTGATAATTGATGAAGCTGATCGCATACTAGATACTGGATTTGAAGAAGATCTTAAACAGATCATTCGAATTTTACCGAGTATGTATTACTACTTCATTTGCATGGAAATATTTTTAATAATAAAATATTTCCTTTTACTTAAGTATTATAATTTTCAGAAAAGAGGCAAACACTCCTTTTTAGTGCTACACTCTCCAAAAAAACTGAGGATTTAATCAAAGTTTCTATGAAAGACCAACCTTTGTATATTGGTATAGATGATGACGAAAAAGAAGCTACAATTGAAGGATTAAATCAGGTTTTGTTCATTTTTTCAAACACCCTAAATTAAAAAATATTTTGTCAAGTGTTTTTATGATTCCCTCTCTTAGATTTTATAATGCTTAATAAAAGGTTTTTTTCTTATAATTTCTTATTGATATAACATAAGTGTTAAATTATAACAAATATACTGTTATAAATTATCTATTTTATATTTGCTACATAATTTGTTTTGCACTGTTGTACTGCTGCTTTTTTCCCTTGAGTAAATATGATTATGCCACATTATTATTTTGTTTATGACTAACAATTAAGTTTAATATGCTATTGTAATTATAGGAAAAATAAATATTTAAACAAATAAATATTTTTAGGCAGTTTTCGTGCTTGTGTTTGTTTGTTACTTTTAACTAACTTTTATCATTTCATAATAGCTTGTATCATAATTAAATAAAACAGGCTCTAAAAACTGACAGCTGTAAAATTATTAGAGAGATTAAAAAAATTAATTCCCTCAAGTTGTGGGAATTGAAAATGATATTTTCATAAAATGAATTTTTATTAATGGGTTTGTGTCTTATTTATATATTTTTAAATTAGCGGCTTGGTGATAAGAGAAGTTAAAGTGCTGCTTCGTTTTTTACAAGTAAAGTAAAGTAATAGCTCATGTCTGTCTATTTGGACTCTGATTGCTAATGATACAATATTTTTTTTAAAGAAGAGAAAGAGAATGTAGGTGGTAGCAAATTTTGATAGTATTACATATTTTTTATTGGCTAGTATGCATGATTTTGAGAAATATTCAAAAGAAGCATATTTTTTTGCATGTCTAAAAACAAAAAATCCAAATATTTGATGAAAAAAATTTCCTACTTTGAAACAAGTGTAAATACTTAATAATAATTGTTACAATATTTTTAAAAGTTAAATATTTTTTTTTTCAATTGATAGTTATACTTTGATAGATTTTGCATTTACTGTAAAAATAAAAAAACTTTTTTTCAAAGAGTTTAATTCCTTAAATGGCTGCACCTCCACTTTCTTAAAACAGACAGTGGGAGCATTTATTAATCTGAATAATTCATGCTATTGTTTTAAGTCTGATTGTCAGTCTTTTTGGAATCTAAGCAGCCCAAATACATTATTCTGTTAAATCATAATGTATGTATCTTCTGTTTAATCCTAAATTTTGTGTTTGAATTTTTTTGAAGTTTATGAACATGCCATTCATAAACTTTATGTACATTACATTACATGTACATTAGTGAAATTAAAGAAAAAATATTTATTTTGACCTAAAAAGGCATGCTATTAATATCCAATTGTTATGTTAGGTGTGTATCTTTTTTTTCTTTTTTTCTATTATCTCTACCGAACCCTAATTTGTTACTCAATTTTTAGTTATTACTTAATTTGATACTGCATTGTTTTTTGTCTTTCATTTGTTTTAAATTGGTTTTCTTCAAGCTTTGAAATATTATGTCTGCCTATAATTGAACTACAACTGCATGTATTTTTTTAAAAAAAACTCATTTTAGTTTTTTTCGTTACTTAGTTCAATGTAACGAAAAAAACTTAATGTTTGTGTTCCACATTCTTTACTTTGTCTTATTCAGAATAATGTAAGTGATATGTACTGAATTTCTTAATTAAATCACAAATATTATAGGGCTATATTTTGTGTCCAGCTGAGAAAAGATTGCTTCTTCTATTAACGTTCTTGAAGAAAAACAAAAAAAAGAAGGTCATGGTTTTCTTTAGTACTACCCAATCAGTCAAATTTCATTTTGAGCTATTTAATTATCTAGAATTGCCTGTAAATTCAATTCATGTAAGTATTTATAAAATTAAATACTCAATCAAATGTTTTCAGTAAATTTATTTTGTTAAAAACAGCATTAAATTTTAGTTACTTACTTTTTAAAACTTGTATGATTTTCATATTCAAATTTAGAAATTTTTTATCTTTTTGTCATTAACTGAACAATCCTATTTGAAAAATTATTTTATTCATATCATCATTTTCAAACATATGTAAGATAAGGACAAACTTTTACAATTTCTACTCAACATTAGACTTCATAAACCATTAAACAGAATTTAGTAATTTTTCCCTTAATTCTGAACTTCTCATATTCCTAACACTTTGAATTCACTGCATTATGCTTGCTTTTTATTTTAATTATGGAATAAAAAAAGTATTTAGTTTTGTCAATAAAACAGCTTTTCAAAAATATTTATAATTTTCTAGTTTTTGAAATTTTTTAATTAATTATTTTAAAACTTATACAGAACTTCCTGCTATTTTTATGATATTATAGTAAAATTCTTCAAGTAAAACCTTTCAAAAAAACGGTCAAATATTTATCAATCTAAATATTATCTGATTATATCAATTTGAGTCGCACTATTGTGTAGATTACTCAATATTTTGATTTGAGAACTATTGTGTTGATTACACAATAAATGTAAACTTTCTACGGGCCAATAATATTGTCGTTGCTTTTGCGGCAAGTAAAAAGGTTCTTTTCTTTCTGGAAGCAATTATATTTGCTAAAAATAATTTTTTATAATTTTTTCTCGTGATGGGCATTTTCGGAACAAAATTTATTTCTTGTTTTTGTGTAATTAGTTACATTGATATGAAACTATGTTTGAATTTCTAGGCTTCTTTATCATTCTTTCATTTCTTTCAACTTTGCTTTTGTTAATTTTTTTTATTAATTTTAACTAGTTGAAATAGTTTAAACTTATTATAATTTAAATAGATACTTTAATATTAGAAACTTTTTTCAAAGTCATTAATTCTCAACATTTTTTTGTAAAGCATAATATTTTATGTGTTTTGATGTTAATTTTAATTTTTTGATAACTAAATTTTTTTTAGAATTTGTTTATTTATTTTTTGTGTATAAGTAAAATCTAAATCTGGGTATAAAAAATGTTTCAGTCTTCACTCTAAACTGCAAAGATCTTATAAGTCTTTACATCACACTTTTTATATTCAGTGAAAGAGAAAAGTAATTGGAACCACAGATACAAAAATTCATTGTTATTTCCAAAACTAACTAAACTATGTTTCTTCTTCAATACTATGCTTCTTTTACTTCTGAAGTGGGCTGTTTTTGTTCTTATTACTGCAACAATATTGCCATCGTTCTTAGAATTAATCGTGATCTGTGTCAAATATGTTTCTGATAAATCTTGAAGATATAGTTGCTTCATTATTTTTTGAATATGTTTTTAGTATTGTCATTAAAATAAATTATGCTAACTCTTTTGTTGTTTAATACTTATAATTTTCTTTTCTATAAAAATATACCAATAAATTATATTTGAATTCATTAACTACATCTCAAACTATAAGAAAAGTAAAAATTTCTGTTGCAACATCCATTAGTCTTAACAATTTAATAATATTGCCTTAATATATATTATTGTTATTTTCACTTAGGTGTGATAAAAGCAATCAACTTTTTTTTAAAAATTAATTTTACTTCAATGATTTTCCCTTTTTATTTATTCCATCTTCACTTTTTTATTTAATAGGGTAAGCAGAAACAAAGTGTAAGAACTTCTACATTCATGTCATTTTGTGACGCAAAGTCTGGTGCATTGCTGTGTACAGATGTTGCAGCTCGTGGCCTAGACATTCCCGAAGTTGATTGGATAGTACAATATGATCCACCAAATAGTCCTAAAGTATATTAAGTCAATATTGTTTACACTTTATTAAGAAAATACTTTTTCAAAGAAAACTATCTGTTTGTAATATTATCATTTTTCATCATAAAACAGCATTTATAACTGATTCAAATTTATTTATATCACAAATTCATTAAGTATTTGGTTGATGTAGAAGTTTTTTTTAGTATCCTCTATTTTTTCATAATGAAATTCATAAAATGTTCTAGGCTTTAATTTGCATACTACATACTAAATTCAAGTCATATAATTTAATTTTTTAAAAAAATAAATTATGTTTTAAAAGATTTTTTTAAAAATTTTCATGTGTGCAATAAATATGCTGTTAAATTATTAAAATGTATGTAATGAATATGTTATTAAATCATTATTTTACTTAAAAATTGTTGCTATAAATGCTCATTCATATTTTGTGTGAATACAAATTGTACAATTTCTAAAAGCTTTGATCTCAAACTTTCAAAATGTAACACAGGTTTTGCTACAAATCTGTTACCTTGATATGGTATAATTAACCCCTTAACTTAAAAGTCCCAAACAACTGAGGTTTTATGCAGTCTTTTTCAAAATAATTATTAGGTATGGGATTAGCTATCAGTGAAATCTTATTTTCAATAGAACTGTTATGCTAAAAGAAACCTACTTAAATTTTCATCTGTTTATCATGATTATTTCAAATTAAATGTTGGATACCCTTTTTTCTAAAAGATTTGTCCACAAATTGCAAATTGTGTATAATAACAGTTGCTGTGGATGGAAATTCTGTTTGCATAACACATTTTGTTATAAATTTATTTATTTCATCTCCTAGGTGTTTACAAGTTATCAAATAATTTGTCCTGAAATATTTTCACATTGTTTATGATCTTCACGTTGCTTTGGTCTCTACTCACCTACCTCTATAGTGTTTCAAAAATTTTGTTAAGCCCTTATGTATGCCAGTATTTTATTTTCTGTCCATAAGTGTACATAACTTTTATTTACTCTTAATAAACTTTGGAAAAAATCTCACTATCACTTAATAATTTGAAACAGTAAGGAACTTTTTATCTGAAGTGTCCTATTTTAGATAATTGTTTCTATATTGTGCATTGTTTTAGTCTGGAAATAAGCATACTTTTTATCTCCTTAACTAGCAGAGTTAGGATGATGATAAATATATATTTTTTGGACTCTTTGATTTTTTCCTTTATAGGACATATACATAAGACTTTTTTTTTCCATTTGTTAGTCTTTTTTTAATAAATTTTTTTATCAATTTTGAAAGATATTTTTAACTTTGATAAAATTTTGTTTCAGAATTAAATGTTTTTTTTTTTTTATAAATTAGTGCATATCTTGCATTGAATTTTGTTACATTAAATATAATCGTATAACAAGTGTTTATGTCAAACTGATTTTTTCATGGTACAAAACTGTAGATTGTAACTAAAAATTTATCAATTCTTATTTATCTTTATCATTTTCTTTATTTATATTTATTTCATCTACAATTTGCATATTCATTTTAATTGTTAGAATATTTTATATTTAATTTAAAAACACAAGTTAAAATTTATAATTAAAAAAAATTGATAAAAAAAGTTTAAGTACATAATTTTTTTTATATTTGATAGTTTTTTTTTTTTTTTTTTTTTTTTTTTTTTTTTTTTTTTTTTTTTGCAAATTTTTAGGTCCTCAACAACTTAGCCCTGTTAGCAAATGAAATCTTTTTTGTTTCATATCAAATGTAACAAAATATTTTCAATATATTAAAAACTATGCAAAATATGAGTATTTAAGCCAGTTCAAGCTCAGAACTGTATGGGGTTATACACAAATTTTATCTTATACTATTAAATAAGTTATATTAAAAATGAGACCGGCATTGTGGAGGATTACTCCCTATACCACCAAAAGTATACTTTCTATTACTCTCTATACCACCAAAGTTTAGTTTCCGGATGATTATTGTAAAGTATTATCATTTGTTATTAAATTTTGCCTTATGATGCAAAATGAAATTGTGTAAAATCCCTGATCATTTTCAGCTTTCTTTTGAAAAATACAAAAACTACTTGGAAAATTGCTTGAAACTTTTTAAATTTTTAAGATATTCAAATCAAATTATTTTTATTAGTTGCCAAATAACTACAAAATTATGAAAAAACTTTTTTCTGTGCATGCACAGTATAAAACAACTAGCTTAAATACTCATAACTTCTAGAGTTTTTTAGGTATTTTTTAAATTGACAATTTTGTAATTAATCTTAAATTGCTCCAAAAATTCAATTCCATTGAATATGTATAAAGTTATAACGAAAAAACGTAAGGTGGAAAAATTAATTTTTTATTAAAATGTCCGTATCTCTATAAATATTTACTTTGGTTTGCAAAACTTCTTACATTTATTAAAAATAACAACTACAGTAATCGATAGAAGTTACAAGATTATTGCTTGATTTTCTGGTATAGGGTGTTCAAAAATACTTGTTTTCTTTCACACTTTATTGTAGGTCTCTCACACCTCTGAAAGCTTTGATTTTTATTGCTACGTATGAAAAATCGCATTGACTAATCTTAATTAACAAAATAATTCTTTTTTGTATTTATTGAGAAATTTTTAAAAAATGTCAAAAACTGAAATTGTCTTTTCCATTAATGTAGAGTAGTGTTTATATATACATACATGACAACATTACTTTTAAAAAGAACAAGTACAATACAAAAAAAGTAAGAATTTTAAAGTACATTTTAAGGAAATTGAAAATTCAAATTAACATTAGATTTCATTTAAAAAATCTTAGAAAAATATTTTTTTAATTAAAAAGTATTAATTATTAACAGTATTAATCATTAAAGTTTAATTTAAGTGTATAAATCTTTAAGATGCAAGAAAATTCATGGAAATAGTGAATGCTGAAAATATCCAGAAACCAAACCAGGCATAACAATTTAATGTTTGCATGTAAAAAACAGTTTTAAATTATGCAAATTTTAAAATTCAAAAATTTTTAAAAGTCTTGTTTGTTTTGATTTTGTATTCGTTTTTTTTTTTGTTTTTGTTTGTAGTAATAAATTTATTTGTTGAACAAATTGGATAATATTATAATTTTGGTTTAAAGAAATAAGTAAAAAATAAAAAAATTTATTCATATACAGGTGTAACCCCTTGATATCCATAAAATTGAAAATTTGAATTCCTTTTTATGAAATTTAAAGGAATAATTTTAGAATGAATCAAAGAAAGTAGAATGATACCTTTAGTAAGGACAGACACATACGATGTCACTTACAGGCGCGGAGGGAAAGGAGATGTGGCTGAAGCAGAAAAACTCTCTATATTATTTATATTAATTTTAACACGAAGTAAATAAAACTAATCCTAAACAAGTGCCCTAATTAAAACAAATCCTAAAGAAAGGGAGTACTTGAATTTGTTTCGTCAAAAATATAGGTATGTATCATTTGTTAACTTTTCAGAATTGAATAAAAATACACCAAAATTTTAGAAATTGTTAGGTTTTTTTTAAAAAAATTTTTTTCATTTTTTTTTTATCTTCAGTTAAAAGTGACTGTAAAAAATTATAATTTTACTGTGATAAGTTTTTCCTTTACATTGTAAAATCCAAAATACTGTCTATAAACTATTACATATTTTAATTCAAAATTAAAAAAAAAAAAAAAAAAACTGGACGAATTATTCATTTCCGGAAACTATACTAGTCACTAGTAACATACTAGATACTAGTATACTAGAAACAATCATACTTCTTTTGCACTAAAGTGATGCAAAACAGCAATTTTCATTTCTGACATAAAATAACTCAATAACTAATGACAAAAATCATCATTTTAATACCATAATTTTTTTTAAAAATGTTTCTCTGTAAATGTGTTAAATTTAATGTATTTCATTAAATAGTTTGATTTATGACAGAGAAACTTGCCAGTGTTGACGACGACAGTAACTTTTTTTAGTATTTAATATGGAGATAAAACAGATTTTGCTAGGGAAACATAAATACCTTTCAAATGCTTGAACTTCCGAATTCAAAACATCTATAAACTTTTATTTTTTGTCAGATAAAGTTATGCAAAGTATAACGGTAAAAATGGACAAAAAAAAACAAAGAATATGTTTAAGTTTTTGAAGCAATCTGTACTGTGCGAACCATGGCACACTAATATTAATCTATGAATGCCTAGATGTGAGCAGTTAATTTTAGACAAATGCAAAAGCAGTTAATTCCGGGGTAAGGTAAGAGGTAGCATGCAGGGATATATTAAAATTTTAAGTATTAATGAAATGTCTACATTAATATTTTTTCTTATTTTGACAAAGTAAATTTATAATGATTTTGTCTACTATTATATACAAATAATTCGAATAAGTATATTGAAATATTAACATTATCCTTTCAGAATATTAAGTTTTTGCAGAAATAATATAATTCTTGCTTACATCTGTATAATGTCTATTACTAAGTACAATAAAAGTACATACTTTTTACTTTCATTACAAGTAACGAAAGTAAGAGTATTGCCATGTATGTATATATGTAAACTAAATTGAATTATTGTCATTAAAGTTATTGTCAGACATTGATGCATGATTATAAAATTGTGCCAATTCTTAATTTCCTAATATTTTTGCAATTATAGTATTTTAGAACTTCCTTGGTTGAATTGCAATTGATTTTACTATATATATTTCTTGTTGTCTTAGGAATACATACATCGAGTGGGTAGAACAGCAAGAGGGGAAAATGTGAATGGAAATGCTGTTCTTATTCTCTTACCTGAAGAACAGAAGTTTCTTGAGTGCTTAAAACAAGCTAGAGTGCCTTTGCAAAATTATGACTTCCAATGGGATGAAAAAATTCTTGCTCGTCAAAGTGCCGTAAGTGAAATTTAAATTTTTATTAATAAGTGAATTTCTAGCAAAATTATGCATTTAAACACGAGCTAAAAAATTGTTTTAAATAATCTCTATTTTATGGAATTTCATTTCTTTACCATACTTGGATCAAAATTTTATATTCTATCCTATCATTGAACTCATTATTAAAAAATTTTGCAAAGTAACTGTACAGTAATTGAATAATTTTAAAACTTTAATGTTTTTTTCTATTACATAATTATAATTTAAAAATTTTGGAAATGAAATTTCTAATAAATAAATAAATGTAATTTCTGTATGCTAGTGCATTTTTTTTTGGGGGGGGGGCAGAAAAATCATATGGCATTATTCGTCAGGAAAATAAATTTCTGGTTAAATAGAGATTTCTGGTTTTAATTTAATAAAAGTTATAAGAATATTAATTGTAAAATATTTCTTTATCCATATTTTAAAGGTTTTTAAGGACTGTAGTATTTATTTATCATTTTTCCTATTAATTCTCTGCTTTATTTTAAATTTCTAATACAAATACAATTAATTGATTTTTTAGTTAAGGTGTAGAATCAGGAAACTCTTGATTTAGCGATAATTTTTGTTCAGTTTAGCTGAGAACCTGCTTCCGGTTACCATGATATTCTTTGCTTTCACTGAAGTCAACTTCAGGTTATCACAACTTTTGTTTACTCTTATGTGATTATTAAGGATTACTATTAAGGTTTATTAAGGATTATTATTAAGGATATTTCTTTATCTAAAATTTTTCCTTTTTTATTGTGCATTACTGAACCAAATATCCGGAATGATTGGGATGTTTGAATTCCTTGATTTTCTGGATTGCCAAAAAATTATTCAATGTAGCTTAGCTATATTCCTATTGTATATTGAATTTTTTTTTTTTTTTTTTAAATCGTTCTTTTGCTGTTTTAGTATTTTAATTAAAAATTTGTGTTTTCACTTCTCTTTTTATTTTATTATATTTATACAGTTAGCATAGCTGTATTACATTCAAAGAGTTTTTCTTATAACTTCCCTACCACCCTTTGTACGCTGATACCCACGTGTGAAGTATTTCCTCTTCAGAGATAAAAGTGAAAAACAAAATAGTTCGTTTAATCTCATTTTGTTTTTTGCTTTCTTTTACGAGGTGCTGATTTCGTTTTTCGAAAATAAAAAATATTTGAAAAAAAAAAACAGTCAAAATTTCCCCTTCAATCAATCTAGCAGAGGCTGATATGAGGAAAATTTCTTTCTCTGCTTAATTTCTTAAAAAGTATTATCATATTTAAATGTGTTTTTCCCAAAACAAAGGATCCTCCCCAAAAAAAAAACCTTTAAAAAAATTATTATTTTTTGCTTAAAGATATGTATTTAATGTATCTAATAGTTTTTCATAAAGAACAATCCTGAAACAAAACTTTAACAAAATCAGAAATGTCGAAGTACTTGTCTGACTCTTAAAAAAAATCTGGCTGTTAATAATTTAAAGTTTTATATGTATCTAATTATAATCGATAGTTTTTATAACATATGAAATCATAACTAAAAGCAATATACTTTGTTTGTTGCTTACATTTTAACTGCAACAAATTGTATCAAAAACAAGAATGCTTTGGTTGTGTACAATGACATGAATTTAAAGTTTTTTAATTTCCACTTTTAGATTATTCTGTAGATATAAATTTTTTTCAAGAAATGTTACATATTATAGCATACTTATTTTTTATATATTATTCCAGATTGAAGAATTAATATCAAAACATCCTAGCCTACTGTCATCAGCTAAAGAAGCTTTTAAATCTTATATTCTTGCTTATAAAGTTCGCCATATGAAAAAAGTGTTTGACAAATCAAAGCTTGACTTAAAGACTATTGCAAAATCATTTGGATTCCCTTCACCACCACTTGTAAATATTTAATTAATGACTGTAATAAAATAAATAATTTTTTATTGTATTTGTTATTGTATTAATTGTATTTTCTACTAATTTTTAAATTTTCTTAACGAATCTTGAATGACGCATCATGTGTGTGGTTGGAAAATGGTTATTATAATCGTACTTATATTGATTTATAAACTGATATATACTTTGCTTTATAAATCATTAACCTCTACAACGAAGTTTCCTTTCAGCGAATTTCTTCATATAACAAAATTTTTATTTGGAACATTAAATAACATTTAAAAAGTAATTACATTTCTTAGACTTTTTTTTTAATTTGGTCCTTTTTGAAATTATTTGCAATGCATTTTTTTTTTGTGTAATTTTTGAAAAAATTTGCATTTAAAAGTAAAAAAATTCTGTGCAACTGATTCGCTCTCCCCTGTAACTGTTATTGGAATTTCTTGCATTATTCATTTCAGTGAAATGACCATGAATCCATTTTAAACACTCTTTTATACTATGTATTACTTCATTTTTAATCAAAAGTCATAATTATATACTTTTGAATTTATGACACACAGTAAAAACTTTGTAACATTTATTTAAATACCTGTAAAAGGGAAATTTGTGGGCACTATGAAGGACTACCTATTTTTTAAAAATCTGTTCTAAGTGTATGAAATAATGCTAGTTAAATAAGGTTTTGGGCAGGACCATTCAAAACATTCATTAAAACTGAGTTTTCACTTTATCCCGGGTTCATCACAGTGGGATTAGATTCAGGAATTTTTCGACTACAATTCCCCTCACAGAAAACAAATAATTTAAAATTTTCATATAACACCTCAAGGAATTTTTCTTACTCCAATTTCTGACAGATATTTTGAACACACTTTTATGTGATAAGTAGTCTAGGAGTTTAAATACTAAACTAAATTTTGGAGATAAATAAAACATCAATGAATATTCCTAACTAGCTCATTATCATGTTATTTTACAAACTTCCATAAATATTGATAATGTATAAATATTTTTTCTTGTTGTAATTGTTACTTTTCCCCCCTTCATTTATTTATTTGTATTGGGAATTTATTAATTTAATACTGTATAAATATTGGAAACAATGTAAAAATAAATTATTTGCAGCATTTCAAATAATTTATTTGTTGAAAAAATTTTCTTCTGAAATAATTATTAAATATTTCGTAACATAACTAACACATTGTTCCTCATGTTTTGTTAATTTATCAAAAACGTTCATTTTTTCCTTCCTGAGACATTTTAGAACCTTTGTAAAAATAGAGTATTGTTGTGGTTCAGATTTATAACCTACACATTTTACAAGTGACTGACCTTCAAAAGTGCAAGAGTACCTTGAGATTTAATAGAATTATACCTTTCGTGTTTTTTTTTCTAAGCATTTACAGGGTTATTTGAAATTTCAATTATTTTTTTATTCGTAATAGTGATGATAATAATTGTCATGCTGAAATATGCATAAAATTTTTCCCTTCATTTAAAAAATCCTTTTTCAATAAATGAAATAAATTTCAATAAATAAATATTTTGGTCTAGGAACAATTTATTTTGAGGAAAAAAGTTTTGATAGCTAGATGAAATGTATACTTCGTTGCAGAGGTTTGATTAGCCTTTACCATAAGTTGAAGATGTTAATGAGTTCAAGTTAGTTTCGATTCCATTAGTTGAAAGGTTGGATGTTTTTATCATAAGTTGAAGAAGTTCGATGAATTTACCATTCGTTGAAGAGGATGTTGATTGGTGTCGTTCCATATATTATTCCAGTCTGATGTAGGCAAGCAATTATTTAACAAAAATCATAAATTGCTTAATAAAGAATTAGATTAGAATAAATCAAAATGTTTTTGAAATTTATGTGTAATGTTATTAAGCTCCAAAGCAAAAAAGAAAAATGATTAATACATATTAGTTAATAAATGCAGAAAATGGTGCGCCTGCAGGGTCAAGAACCACAATGCACCTCCGTCGATCAAGAAATCAGAAATGTTAGTGTAATGCATATGTTGAAATAGTTTTTCCTAAGAAAGTTAAGAAATCCGTATATTGGCTATCAATTAAACGAATTTAATGCCAAGGCTCTTTTTTTAGCCTTACACATTCAAATATGTTGGCAGAAAAGAAAGCGGGAGATATCCTAACGAATTTTAATGAAATCGAAGCATTATCAACCATATAATGGTTTTCGATTTTATACTAACGCGTTATGTACTATACGTTTGAACTTATATAAAGTTTTATACTAATATAGTATACATAGTTTTATACTAATGCATTAGAAGTAGACGGAATCTCTAAAAATAGATTTTATTCTGCACTCAATTCAAGGTTATGGTATTTATTTTTATTTTATCCGTCTTTGAACAACCGACCCAATTTTGGGTTTACGACTACTGTTGTTCAACTCCGTAGCCTTGAAATTTTGAACCAATCCAGTAGACAAGAAAACTCCTGGATCAGTACCCCCAGAGATATGGATTTGTTATGCATGACTAACATTACGGAATAGTTCTCTAAGTATTTCTTGAGAAATTCAAAGAAATGTCAGAAACTCAAAGTGTCTTTTCTTTATTGTTGGGTAGTGCATGGCAAAATACACAAAAAGTAAAATGAACAATAGGGGTTCAAACTTTGGATCGCTCTCCTGATCAAACTACAGGAATCATATTTCCCAGATTGTGGCTACCCCCTATATTTTGGAGGTCAAAAATTCAAATCCGTCTGAAAAAGGTATAAAGACAGGGTAAACAATTTATTTTGGCAAGATTAAATCGATAAACAAATCTATTTCAAAGTTATGCTAAAAGAAAGAACGTACAAATTGTCTGCAGTTAGAAAAAAAATTAAATAAATAAAATTTCAGCGCTACACTCTAAAAGAATTTTAATGACTACTTTTCTTAAATGTAATTCTCTATTGATTATCATCATTATTATTACTTAAATAAAAATAATAATGAAGGATTTAATTTATAAATCGAAAATGAAACTTGATGCTATTACGTAGGTTGTGACGTAACTTTTGTACATGGTGTCATTTTATTGAGCTTCATAGTTATAAGAAAGGAACACTCATTTAGATAAGAGATTATCAGACGGCAGTGGAAAGTTGATTTCGACATTATTATTGAATATTATTAGAGTCGGTTGTTCAGCGAAGTATATTGAACGGTGAATGTAACAAAATAAATGGAATGGGTAATAAAACAAACAGAACGAGTAACATAACAAATGGAATGGATAGCAAAAATCAACCTGTTATAAACCTTAAGATTGGCGTACTAGGAGAAACCTGTGAGTAATCTCACTTTTTTTATAATGACAATGAAATATTATTTTTTGCAATTAGGATTATGTAACTTTTTTTCTACTAGAAATTAACAATTCTTTTAAAAGTTAAAAAAAGTATTAAGAAAGATAAAAAAAGAAACAAGATCTTTAAAAAGATAAAAAAAACAAGTGTTTAATTGTACAGTGTGCAAAATAAAAAACGGACCACCCTGAATAACTTTTGATTTAATCACCGGATTTTCACGTTCTCTGAATAAACATACCTTTTTTTCGACGGATTTGGATTTTTGACCACCGAAATATAGGGGCTAGCCGCAATCTTGGAAATATGGCCCGCATACTTTGATCACGAGAGAGGGCAAACGTTTAGACCCCTTAATGTTAATTTCATTTTTTGTATATTTCGCCATATCTTTTTAAGCAAATAGAAAAAATTTTGAACACAATTATAAAATTTGTTTATCCAAATATAATTCAACTCAAAATATGACTTTTAGCACATATTTATTATTATTTGATTGTAATTGACATTGTCATTTTAAAAGACGTAATTTTTACATGGCAAAATACAAAATTTGAGTTCCTGAGAAATCGAATTTTAAAATACGGCTTTTTAAAATTCAATTTCTGCGGAATTACTTGACCGATTTTGCTCAAAAGTTGTATTTTGCTATATAAAATTACATTCTTTAAAATGATGTAATATCTTAAATTCCTTACAATTAAAATTACTTTTGACCATATATTTATATACGTGTCACTGTTAAATAAAATAATAAGAAATATTGAATGAAAGTTAAATTTTGCATGGAATTATCATTGGATAAACGATTTGTATCATTGTGTGCAAAGATTTTTCATTTCGCTTAATTTCTGGAAACAAGGCGAAATATGTAAAAAATAAAATTAACATTAAGAGGTCCAAACTTTGGACCGCTCTCCTAACTACACTGTGGGGACCATATTTTTTAGATTACAGCTACCCCCTATATTTTGGGGGTCAAAAATCCTTATCTGTCGAAAAAAGTTATTTAGACTAAGTACGTTTTCGAGTGTGATTTCGTACTTTAAAATACCAAATACACTAATTAATTAACACATATTTTAGGTCACCCACTCGATAATCATTAAAATTGAGTCCTAGAAAGTGAAGATCCGATCATTAGATCAAAAGTCATTCAGGGTGGTCCATTTTTTTATTTTGCGCACTGTACATAAATATCTTTTGAAGATAAGGATGACTATTAAGCAGATAAATTATATAATATGAGTTTAAACACGTAAAGAAGATCTAGATATCTGTACCTTGCCATAGCCTAAAATTAATAAAAGTTTCTTACACGTATATTATTTACTTATCCTTTATTTTGCAGTATTTACCGGAATTATTTATTAATCTTCCAAAAATTTGTCTGTTCTTATTACGTTTTCACTTTTGACTATGGTTTAAATTAAAGGCTTAAAAATAAAATATCTAAACACACTACATTTTAAGGCAAAAAGTAAGCTTTAAAAAATAATCTAGCTCAAAAAATAAAAAGACAGCATAAGCAAGTAAATGAGCATTTACGTTAAAAAACTTACAATTAATCTTTACATTTATTTGGCACACAATTGGTAATAAAAATGAACCTAGCTTGCCAATCAGTTTTTTTAGCCCTAGACAAAAGATTTCGGCTAGCCTTAAAAAAGTACTAAAAACTATTATTTTCTTATTATTGACGCCCAGGTGTTGAGACTAAAC